CAACGGTTTTCTTTGCCAGGAATTCTGCCACAACTCATCCTTTGACCATTTTCTTCGTGATAAACTCTGCAATCCACACTAGACATCTGAATTAAACCCGGGCCGGGGCAATAGATAAAGGGGTTGGCCGAGGGATTTACAGGGAAGGGTTTGAACCTGTGCCTTCATCACATGGACGCAGGTCGACGGCGGGATTCAGAGAGTAGAAATAAGGAGAAATATGAAGTCCAGTCTCCGATATAAAAGACCAGGACTGAATAAGATTTTCTTTATTCCCAAAGCTTCAGGGGTCAGGGGAATTTCAGAGCAGAGGAAAGACATATCCTGGTCTGGAGATCTTCATGACAGATTTTGATGAGCAGCTAATCAAATCTCCTGAGCCTTCCTTCAAACAGTTGGTAGAAGGCACACAGTTCATGGTTGGTATATGGTTCAAACAGGCAGTGGCACAGAATGGTCACAGAAGATACCTGCATTTGAAGATTTCCTTGGGATTGGGGACGAAGCTTCAAGAATGGTGCAGGAGCAGAAGTCTAAGGCAAGGATCCTCCAGTCGCTACTAGCAGCTGAAGATGCTGAAGAAGCAGAGAGGAAGGTGATGAAGATGACAGAGCATGAAAAGGCGAAAGAGAAAGCCGCCCCAGAAGCAAAGGAAGCTCCAGATGCTGACGAAGTGATTCAAGCTATAAAGGACAGCTGTGATGAATGTATTGAATAAGTTATTAATCCTATTTTTTGCTTTTCTGATTATTGTTTTGAGAACTATTTGGATGGATTCCCTTTATTATTTCAATTAATGGAAGTGAATTTTGACTACTTGTTTTCTTGTTTTCCTGATTGTCACGTTCATGGCATTGATTATCCAATTGATTATACCACGAGCATATTTGACATTCAATCATTTGCATCATTTTGCATTTAACGAAGCACCACCGAAAGATTCCCAAAAATAATTCGAAATGGTCGTCCCCCTGACTTTAAGCCTGAACTAGACAGGACCAAGAATGTCTTAGAGGGGATTTCAGAGGTATTCGCCTGGAGCATGCCGATATGCTAGAATCAACAGATCAATTTGCAGAACCACTTCATCCTCTACCGACCCGAGTTATTAAGCCAGTTAAGTTAAAGCAAAAAGATGAGGCGGGTCAGACCAGAGTGGCAAGACAAGATCAAGGCTGAGGTCCAGAAGCAGTTAGATGCAGGATTCTTAGAGGTAGTACATTATCCTGAGTGGTTGGCCAACATAGTTCCTGTACTGAAAAAGGATGGGAGAATAAGAGTTTATGTTGACTACAGGGATCTAAACAAAGCCTTGCCCAAAGATGACTTCCCACTTCCACATATAGATGTTTTGATCGACAGCGTTGCTGGAATGGGATGTTATTTTATTATGGACGGGTTCTCCGGGTACAACCAAATCTTGATGGCCTTAGTTGACAAGCATAAGACTACCTTCACTATTGACTTTGGGACTTTCTGCTATAGGGTGATGCCATTCGGATTGAAGAACGCCGGGGCAACATATCAGAGAATGGCTACAACATTATTTCATGACATGGACATGATCCCATTAAAGGATTGGAGGTAAATCATGTGGATATATGGTGATCATGGGTGATCATGACAAGAACACAGGAAGAACACACGGAGATGTTGGAAAAGTTCTTCGCACGGGTCAAACAGTACAACTTAAGACTCAATCCCAAAAAGTATTTATTCGGAGTAACGAAAGGGAAGTTGTTAGGTTTTGTTGTAGGACCTAACGGGATTGAGGTTGACCCAAACAAAATAAAAGCTATTCAGGATATGGAATTGCTAAGAACAGAACGTCAGGTGAGAAGTTTCTTGGGAAAAATCCAGTATATCAGCAGGTTTATTTCTAGGTTATCCATCACATGCGCTCCGATCTTCAAGCTACTTAAGAAGAATCAACCCAAAACCAGTTAGATGGGCGAGACTGCCAGAAAGCCCTTGATCATATAAAAGAAATTACTTGATGAATCCACGTGTGAGTTCGCCTAGACCGGGAGAGCCTCTGATCCTGTATTTGTCTATAGAGATGCGCGGAGTTTGGAGCTTATGTTGGTACAGTATCGGACGCTGCTGGGCAGTAGGGAAAAGGCCATCTATTACATCAGCAAGAAATTACTGCCTATCGAGGAGAAGTATTCAATTTGGTAGAGAAAACATGTATGGCAGTGGTGTGGTCAATAAAGAAATTGAGGTCTTTACTTGATTCCTTCACGGGTCACTTTCGTTCTAAAATTGATCCTATAAGATCTTAGAGAACACCTACCCTAGAAGGGACGGGACTGGTCCAAATGGCTGATTCATGATGTCCAGTGTGGATGCAGAGTTTTCACGAAGAAGACGGTCAAAGATCGGGTTGTGGGCAGAGTTCCTAGCTGAAATTCCCATTGTAGGATGATGAGTCATTGGAGAATGGAATTTCCAGAATGAACATTTGTTGTGTGTTGAAACAGGGGTTTGGAAATTGTTACTTCGAACGGGTCAGGCCAACAGAAATGGAGCCGGAGCTTGGGTATCGTGATTAGAAGACCCAATGGCGGAGATCACAACAATGTGCAAAAGATTATTGTTCCCAGTCACCAACAATATTGGCCCGAATATGAAGCATGTATCATGGGAATGGAGGCTCTTCTTGCATCAGGTGCTAAGGGAAGTCGAGGGTGATGTAGAAGATTTCACTGTTGGTTACGAACATGCTTACCAGAGATTTGGAAATTGGAGGAAGAAGGTGAAGCCCTAATGTTGAGTACTTGTTAAAGAAGGCGGCGGCTCTTCGACCGATCACTTTCACTCACATAGGAAGAATTCATACAGGATCCCACATCACATAGGAAGAATTCATAACAGAATCCCACATGCTTTGGCAAACCTGGCGTCAGCTTGGTAGGATTTGAGTAAAGTCCCAAAGAAGCCATTTATCATTACCGCGGCAAATATCTCATGCTATGAAGAACATGTTGTGAATCAGGTGGAGTCAAAGGAAGAACCCTGATTTAATGATATCCTGCGGTACATGAAAGACGGAACCTTTTCTGATGATGCAACAAAGGAAGACCGTTCAGTGCTAAGGAAAATGGCTTTGAATTATGTCCTGGCCGATGGTGAATTATATAGGAGGGCTTAGGATGGAATGCTGCTAAGATGTGTAGGTAAAAAGGAAGGAGAAGAAATAATGAAAAAAATCCATGAAGGAGTTTGCGGTACTCATTTGAGTGGCATAAGTTTGGCCAGAAAAATCATGAGCCAAGGTTATTTTTTGGTGCAGATGGAAGGTGATTGTGTCAATTGTGTTCGCTATTGTAAAGCCTACCAGTACCACGATAACAAAAACCACTTGCCAGCTGCTGAACTCCATCCAACAGCTCCTTCTTGGCCTTTTTCAGCATGGGGTATAGACATCATCGGCAACATCGGCCAAGATTCACGCCAGCAGCCATCGAATGGTCATCAGTATATTTTGGTTGCAGTAGATTACTTTTCTAGGTGGATCGAAGCTCATTCCTACAAAACCTTTGACCGCCCAACAAAGTGGCTAGATTTCATTGAACAGAAAATATTTTCTGTCACTATGGTGGTCCATCAACATAGTTACAAACAATGGTTCTCATTTTCAAGCAGACGTCGATTCAGTTGCTATATAGATATAAGGTTGAGCATCACCATTCTTCTTCCTTTATCGACCTCAGCTAATGTGCAGTAGAAGCTGTGAATAAGGGATTTAAGAGAATCCTGTCCAAGATGTGCGAGAATATAGAAAGCTAGGTGAGAAAACTTCCCTTCGCGCCTCTGGGGGCATCCACTACATTCAAAGTCAGTAAATTTGGAGGCTTTCTCCTTCGAACTTGTATATGGGATAGAGGGCAGTGTTTACCTGTAGAGCTCGAAAAGAAGTCTTATCCAGGGTTCTGTGAACGGGACCGAAGAAGAATGGGTCAAGAAAAGTGTAAGGATCTGACGCTTTTGATGGAAGAAGATTGAACGCCCGATTCCGGGATCAAGGATGAGAAAGAGAAGAGTTTGCCGTTTCTACAAATAAACAGGTAACCAAGGGCTTTTGAAAATGGGGATTTAGTATTGATCAGGTTGGTTGACCATGAATCCCAAATCATCCTGGTGGAAATTCAACCCAACTGGCAGGACCATTCAGAATCAGAAGCTATTAGTCAAATTTGCCGCTTGAATAATCACCATGGAAGGGAAGCCTGTCATCGGATTGTTAACACCAAATGAAAGGTCATGTCTGAAAGAATGTACGATTAAAAAAAAAAAAAAAGAGCTAGGTTGAAAACCCAAAAGGGCGACTTAGGCAAGAAAGACCCAGGTTAAATACCCCAAAGGGCGGCTAGGCCAAAAAGACAAATATAAAATAAAAAAAAACTTTCATTAACGAGTGGTACTTTAGTTCTAAATGCGAATCTATGCCATGCGTTCGTGACATATGCCATGCGTTCGTGACATATTTGTGACTGGTTGCTCAATGTCATCAACTTGACTAGAAGGAGAATAGGTAAATGAGTAGTTAGAATGAATGACCATTGTCTTAAAATAGTTTTTCTTTACTTCTATGTAATGTTGAAAGAAGTGAGATTAATAAAGAGCTGGAATTTCAAACTTTCTCTTCCTTTTTGTTTCGGGGATATGATTAAGGAATGCAAGACCTTCCTCTCTGCTTATGTGATCAAGACTTGCTCATCTATTTTGAAAATGTCCTGGTTGTTGGTCCTGCCTGAGTAATGAATTCTTTTAAACATCGATCAGGAGAACAAATGCAATTTTCTCAGTGATTTTCTTGGAAAGATCGATAAAGAACCATGGATAAAACCTTTGCACTCAGTAGGTTCATGCATGCATAAAGGATACGTGCTATGAACACTCAATTATCTGTGGCTAGTAATGGTGCACTGATGGCAGAGCTTATGGTTAGACCTAGCCTACTTCAACAGATTCAAGATGCATAGAGAGATGACAAGATGATTAACTTGTGGAAAGGCCTAGTTAGAGATGGTGAGAAAAAGAGGTTTGAGATTAGAGATAACAACTGCTTGTACTTTGAGGATCAGATTTGTGTGCCTAAGATTTCAGAGTTGAGGAAGAGTACCTTAGATGAAGCTCATAGTAGTCCTTATTTTATGCATCTGGCGGTAATAAGATGTATCAAGATTTGAAATCATAGTATTGGTGGCAGGCTTTGAAGAGGGATATCACAGATTATGTCTCGAGGTGTTTCACGTGTCAACAAGTTAAAGCAGAGCATCAATTTTCTTCTGGTTTGGTACACCCTACTTCTATTCCAGAGTGGAAATGGGATAAGATTACTATGGATTTTGTGATTGGATTGCCTCTGACTCCTAAAAGGAAAGATACCATATGGGTGATAGTTGACAAATTGACAAAGTCAGTGCACTTTCTTCCTGTTAGGACTGACTTTACCATGGAGCAGTATGTAGAGCTCTATATTGATGAGATAGTGAGATTGCACGGGTTTCCTTCTTCCATCATATCAGATAGAGATCCGAGATTCACTTCTACATTCTAGAAGAAGTTACATGAGGCCTTGGGTACTAAGTTGAATTTCAGCACAGCTTTTCATCCTCAAATTGATGGTCAGTCAAAGCGGGTTATTTAGATTTTAGAGGATATGTTGAGGGTTTGTGTCACTGAGTTTGAGGGTAGTTGGGAGAAGTACATTCGACTTGTGGAATTTGCCTAAAAAAATAGTTACCAGTCGAGCATCCAAGTGGATCTCTTTGAAGCACTGTATGGTAGGAGATGCAGGACTCCGCTATGTAGGTCAGAGTTGAGTGAGGGCAAGATTCTAAGTCCGGATTTGATTCAGGATACAAAGGATAAAGTCAGAATTATAAGAGATAGACTAAAAGCGGCTTCAGACTGTCAGAAGTCGTATGCAAACTTAAAGAGAAGAGATATAGACTATGCAGTAGGTGACAAGGTTTTCCTTAAGGTATCTCCGTGGAAGAAGAGGAAGCTTAGTCCTAGGTTCATTGGTCCATACGAGATCATTGAGCATGTGGGAACGTTGGCCTATAGACTAGCTTTACCACCAGACCTGGATAGGGAACGTTGGCCTATAGACTAGCTTTACCACCAGACCTGGATAGGATACATAATGTCTTCCATGTGTCTCTATTGAGGAGGTATCGATCTGACCCATTGCATGTGATATCAGTTGAGTCTGTGACTATAGAGTCGAATTTGACTTATGAGGAAGAACCAGTGAGGATACTTGCTAGAGAGATTAAGGAACTAAGGAATAAAAGAATTCCTCTAGTAAAGGTCCTTTGGACAAATCATAAGACCAAGGAAGCTACTTGGGAAAGTGAAGACATTATGAGACAGCAACATCCTCAGTTGTTGACTTCAAGTGAATTTTGAGGAATAAATTCTTTAAGGCGGAAGAGTTGTAACGCACAGTTTTTTTGTGTCTGAAATAGTAGTTACTGGTTTGTGAATAGTACCACCGATCGAGGAATCGGTATTATTTCGATTCGAAAAAATTACTATTTATATTTTATATTTTATTTAATATTTTTGGAGCATGCATACATGATTTTTATGGGTAGAAAATAAGTAATGAATTTTTTAGATGATTAGTGAATTAGTGATAGTGAATTATGGTATTTTATTAATTAAGAAAATTTGAGGAATTATTTTCATGGAGTAAATTTAAGAAATATGTAAAAGTAAATAATATTTTGAGAGAAATTGATTGGAGAATATTTTTAGCCACTGGATTAGAATACCATTGACTTAATCTTAACCATCCATTTATAACTTCTTAAGGAAGTTGTGGAAAATGACTAAAATGCCCTTATTGACTATAAAAGTCAATGTTTATCATTTGAGCAACAACTTTTTCTTCTTCTTTTATCCTCTCTTGGGCAACTTCTTCTTCCTCTCCTTCTCTTTATTTTTCTTCAATTCCTACTTACTAAAGACACTAATTTCACTCCATGAAACCTTAAGCTAATGATTTATCTTGGAGATTAGAGCTTGGGAGTTAATATTTGGTGATTATTTTCAAGGAAATTGGAGATTTTTCTACTTAGTCAAGTAAGTGTTTAGTGTTTTGATGATTTTCTTTCTAATTTTTGGGTTTTGATTTCTCTTTAAGCATCTCCATGCTCATTCATGTCCAATCTTTCTTCTACTTGTTTTCTTGGTTGTGATTTTTTGGTTTTCCATTATGTAGAGGTGGGTGAACGCTCTACCAAGGTCAAGAGAAAAGCTAAGGCTTAGAGAACTTTTGTTTAAGCTTGTAGAAGCTTAATTTGAGGTTTCTTCTCATAAACACACTTCTTTACTTTTGTTTTTGAATTTTGAATTTCTTGCCTACTATGAGAAATTTGGAGTTCATGTTGAAATTGGTTAAATGAGAGTGAATAGAATGCTAAAGTGTGTTCTTGGGTGTTATTGAATAGAATGCTAAAGTGTGTTCTTGGGTGTTATTTAAGCATGATTATATGTTTGATTGAAGAGGAAAACATTTCCTCCTCATATTCCTAAGAGTGGCTGAACCTACTTGCTTAAGTTCTTTATATGATGCTAGATAGGTATTTGGCAAGTGGTAGAAATTTCTACCTTGAATCTTTAGTCTTTCATGATTTTCTATGACAAAAGTATTACAAGTTTGAGGATTTTTCCATGATAGAGATTAATTAGTTGAATTGGTACTATATGTATGTTAATAAGAATAAATACATGGTATTATGCTAGATAGGAAGTTAATTTGCCCAACTAGACCAAGCATGGTACTTTTCCTACTTATGCCATAATATAGAAAAAGCCATCTTTTGGGAATATGATATGCCTTAAAATGATAATATGCTTTTGTGTGATGGTAAATAATATGTGTGTGAAGTATAGATGAAATGCCATGTTATACTTGAGGAATGAGAAATTTCATATGCCTTGAATTATGAAAATATTGAGAATTTGCATCAAAGTATGCATGTTTGACCTATGTATATGCTCACATGTATCTAAAGGATGCTTTAAATGGAATCTTTTGATTGATATATGTTTTAAATGATATAAGTGATTTTTATGATAAGAATTTTTTATGTTAAGTAATTATGCTTAAGTATTATGTTAAGTAATTATGCTTAAGTATGGAATTTTCATGAATTACTTGAATTCTAAACTAAACTTACATTATGATTTCAAGAAGACTAAATAAAAATAAGTTTTATGAGAAGCATTATGAATTAAGAATTAAAGTTATGTTCTTGGGCTCTAATATACTTGGTGTGAATTTGATGTTTGATTTGATTTATTATGTAAGATAAGCATGCTCGACATTTGATGTCATTATGATATGAAGATATGACCATATGCTAGGCACGTGGGTGCCTTATGTTAGAGCGGACGAGCTCCATATTGTGGATCCCTCCCCCGAAAACATTAGGCATATGAATGCATGTGACTAAGGGCAGAAATGCACGTGAATGTATGAGTCGCCACCTTGTTTAATTATTTTCGGGTAAACTAGGAAAAACCCCCCTTAAGGTGACTTCAATTACTTCCAGTAAATGTCCAAAATGGCCTTCGGTCCGGCCGGACTGTTTGCAGTTCGGCATTGACACTGTAGAAAAGTCAAAGTTTGAGTATTCACATCATGCTGATGAACTAACCTATGAATGAATGCTTTGCAAGGAAGATGATGTAATTGGACCAATGAAAATGTTTATGTGATTTCAACTTGCCTCCCGGGGTTAAATCCCCAACGTGCCTACGTGTTTGAATGGAGGATCAAAGTCAACGTAGTTCGATAGGCCTTTTTAAAAGGGCTTTGAATGGGTATGCTTAATGCATGAGTATGTGTATGCTTTGTGCATTGTGCATTTGTAGGCATTTTTGCTTGAAAATTGATTTGATCTTAGGCATTTTTTCTGCCAAAAGTGTGATTTGAAGGCTTTTTAGCAAAAGATTTGATTTAGGCAATTTGTGCCGAAAATTGATTGATTTGGGCGTTTGTCGCAAATTGCTTGAATTTAAGGCTTTTAGCAAAAAAGATTTGATTAATTTGAAGGCTTTTTTAGCCAAAAAATGAGTTGATTTTTAGGCAGGGTTTGTTTGCCAAAAGGTGTTGATTAGGCGATTGCTCGCCAAAATTGATTTGATTTTAAGGCTTTTAGCAAAAGATTGATTAATTCAGCGCATTTTTGCCAAAGCTTCGATTTGAGCGATTTGTCGCCTAAAAAATGATTAATTACTTATAGGCAATTTGTTGCCAAAAAAGTGATCAATTGAATTGCAATATAGGCAATTTATTGCCAAAAAACGTGTTTAATTAAGGCCAATTAGCCACAATTATTGGATTAAATTGGACTTTAAGCCGGACTGTTCGAAATAAAGGCGATTTATACCATAGTCATTAACTGACTAGATACTTTAGCCAATTGTCGGATTTTAGACTTTAATTACCACCGATTATTAATAACCGGGCATTTAGGCTAAAATTATTTAATTGAGCAGTTTATTTGGCCTAATGATGAGTGAATGCATTTATGCGTTGTAGAATTAGGAGTTTAGGACTAGAAGAGAAGCATGCATGAAGTGCTAAATTTAAATGAGCAGGGTTTAGTTTATGTACCTGAGTCAGTCGTCGGCCACTTCTTAGCCCCAGGTTAAGCTCCTTGTTAAGGGAATATTATTAATTCAACTTTAGTGACCAATTAACAAAGCAAGAAAGCAATAAAGCTAAATTAAAATGCAGAAAAGCAAGAAAGAATCACAAGGAGCGTAGGGGAGAAGGAGCGTCCGTCAACACAGACTGAATGCCTTGAAATGAAGACCCGGGGCTGTTTTTATAAGCGAAAATCGGACTGAAGGGCGGCAGCTACCGCCGTGTGGGCGGCCTGAGCTACCGGGGCTGCGGGTTTGCTAATTTTTGGTTTTGGAGGCTTTTTCGGGAGTTTCTGACCTCCAAAAAAATATTCCGAGACCAGTTCTGCGATCCTCGTAATTTTCTAGACGTTTCAAGTACCATATTGGCATACTTCCGGTGAACTTTTTCAAGTACCATATTGGCATACTTTCGGTGAACTTTCCAAATAGCCTCCGGTCCGGCCGGACTGTTTACAGTCTTTTAAGTACACATATGTGCATCATTTCGGCTAAATTTCCAAAATGCGTTTTAAGTACCATATTGGCATATTTCCGGTAAATTTCCAAAATGGCCTTCGGTCTGGCCGAACTATTTGCAGTCCGGGAAAACAAGCTTTTTGAACCTCAAAATTTGAATATTCACACATATGTTATGACAGACTCTTGAAGCCCTTATGATTATGTTGGTATATAAGGCCATTATGAATAAGTTATGAAAAATCTTATCTGCTCCATCTTCTACTAAGTGTATAAGAGCCCCTTAAGAAAAATATTTTCAAGGAAATTAAATTAATTAATAATATTATGTTATATATTTGATATTAGTTTATCATATGATCTTTGTTTTTGTAATATGTTTGACTATGTTATAAATTAAATCTTTAAAGCATATTAATGGGTTTGGCGTTAAAATGAAAAGCATGCTTAAGGGTGAAAAAATACATCAAGGGTAATGAATATATGATGTGATATGATGATAATTATGGTTGCTAATGATTTGTATGTAAAACATGAAATTAAATGCTATAAATGTGAAATCATGCTTTCTTATCCAAATGTTTTTTTTTTTTTTAATATAAAATGAAATTCTTTTAAAATTTATGTTTTAAGTATATTGCCATTGCAACATTGATAAGTATGTGATTTATGAGCACCATTGAGTTTCATACTCAGCGCGTTGATTTTTATCACACGTAGGTTGAAGACCGTGGTTGCTACACGAAGGCTAGAGGAGTAGCATCAGAGCAGAAGAGATTATTTTGGTCATGTAGAATTAGTTTTATGTAATTAATAATTATGGCATGTATAATTATTATCTATTTGGATATTATGTAATTCGAGTTATATGACTTAAGCATGTTATTGTAAACTATTTTAGTATATGTATTTGGAGTTAAGCATGGGACTTGTTTAATGATTGGATATAGAATATTTTCTAAGTTAGTTTGGCTTGGTTGGATTATTAGGACTTGATATGTAAATGTATGCATTTAGTTTGATGACCATTATGATGCTAATGAGGAATTACATGGTTATGAAGTTATAGAAGTGTTGTTTGTGTTGTGTTGATTATTGAAGTTTGATGGGGGTTCGAAGTTTTAAACTAGGATTATTTTTATTCACATGTTTGTTGAGCTCAGTTTTTAGGGAGAACTCTTGTAGTTTTTCTGTAGGATTTTCCTAAATCATTTTCAAAAAAAAAAAAAAAATTTACTTGCTAAGCAAAAAAAAATTTACTTGCTAAGCTTATGAATACTCAATCACTT